TCTGCCTGGAAATCCTCTGAGAACAGTGGGTGGAGGCAGCTGAAGGGTTTTTTTCCCTTCCTATCTCAACAAGGATCCTGTTAGGGGGATTAACAAAGTAACTGGATGTTAGCTGGCATAATTCCAGTGAGATAGTAAAAGGCAATGGCTGTTACACTGTTGCTGTCAAGGTTTACCTGGAAATCTTACTAGGTGGCTGCTAAGTGTCAACTGCTTGTAAGTTTAGCAGGCATATTATATGCAGGGTTGAAGTAGCCATGAAATAGCTGTTCCTGCTAACTGCTGTGAGGCTGTTTAATAGCTGTGGTTGGCTTATTAATTGGTGCCGTTAGTCTCTGCTGAGACTGCCGGTGTGTCTGTGCTTCAGAGTTGGCCTCTCCACTAGAGGGCTGACTGCTAGTGATGGGAAGCACTTCTGCAGTTGCCAGAGTGGATGGTTACTGCTTGGGTTAAAGAAGCTTAAGAGCCATCATTAGTGCATTGCTGTGATCCTGTTCAGGATGTTTGTCTTCAGCTTGAGCGTGCTTTCCCCAAGACGCTGGTAAGCTCCACTATCAGAGACTGAGCATTGCACATCAAAGCGTGTGTTGCTTTTCTGACCACTTTCTCATCGTAGCCCTTTTCCATACTCAATTGTGTCTACAGGCAGGTATGAACTAACCAAAAATTATTTTGTTGTGGGGTGAATGCCATGCTGAATCTTCTGATCTGCAAAGCTTGAGTCTCTAGTTTATTGGTTTAGAGTGTGTTATTGGAGTGGTTGGAGAAAAAGATTATGGGTCGGCTTGCTAAAGACTCTATATTACTGTGATCTTTTTAAGGCCTTAATGGGAAAATCTCTCAACCTGTGCTTTGTTACAGTGTGTTCAGTTTGTGGAACAGTATGAACCTGTGGTTGTGCAACTCTTGGCAGAGATGATGGATCCCACTTTTGTTTGCACTGTGAGTATTGTGTTTAGTTCTATTCAGGATGGGCTCTGATACAGTCCTGCCTACTCTTCTCTATGCTTTTCAGCGTGTAGCAAGCAGAAACTCTGTTGGAATAAAAATTAGTGTGGTGAATGCTTTGAGCAAATTCACTTGTGCAAGGCCTTGGGCTTAATGAATGGACAGCTGTTTGACTGCCAGCCTTGTGTAAAGAAGGACAGAAGAAATGAACTGCCAGTGGTTATCCACTGTTCAGGTTCAGTAACAAGCATGGTGTGTCCTGAATGGGATGAGAGGAAGTTAAATGACGTTTATTGAGAACGATCCCTTTCTAGAAGCTGTTTCACAATACTTAATATGTAAAAGTTGTAGTAACTTAATTTTTCCTGGTGTTACATTGCTGCTTTGAGTCTACTGATTCAGCTGCAACCATGACTGCAATTGTCAGTTGAGGACAGTGCTGTGTTTGCTCCTGAAGCTGCCTCAGCATTGCCTTTGGGCTCCTGCACTTCGTTAGGTAAAAGCTCAGATGTAAGGCTGCAGTCTAAATGTTTTGGTGCTGATTCATACTGACTACTGCTGTTCTTTTCACAGAAATTAGGAGTCTGTGGAGCAGCTAAAAAGCCTCTCCTAGGGGATGATGCTTGTGTTTGGGGTCCAGGTTACTGGTGTAAGAACATGGAGACTGCTGCTCAGTGCAACGTACGTAAAACCTTGAATTTCCAATCGTCTTTGAAAACCTCCTTAAAAACTAATTTGCCAGCTTCTGTAGCACACTAAGTGGGTGAATTCTTAGGTAGGTGCTGAGTTTCATTGGAGGTTCTTCCATAGCCCATAGTTTTCTCAAAGCATGCTGTTCCTCCCTTATTCCTTCCTATTTATTACTGTGCAAGCATTTTGGAATCAGAGTCATGGATTTTCAACCCATGGCTTGGGTTGAAAAGGACTGCAATGATCATCTAGTTTCAACCCCCCTGTCACGTGCAGGGTCACCAACCACCAGACCAGGCTGTCCAGAGGCACATCCAGCCTGGCCTTGAATGCCTCCAGGGATGGGGCATCCACAACCTCCTTGGGCAACCTGTTCCAATGTGTCACCACCCTCTGAGTGGGAAAAACTTCCTCCTAATACCTAACCTAAACCTCTCCTGTCTCAGTTTAAAACCATTCTCCCTTGTCCTATCACTATACACCCTCACAAACAGACATACCTCCTCCTGTTTATAAGCTCTCTTCGAATATTGGAAGGCCACAGTGAAGTGTCCCTGGAGCCTTTTCTACTCCAGGCTAAACAAGCCCAATTCCCTCTACGTTTTTTTCATAGGAGAGTGAATAGGAATGCATAGTAAGCTGCAGTATGAGCTTTGTATTTTCTGTGTTCCAAGAGCCATAAAGCCTTGTCACAACCTGTGTTCAGGCTCTAAAAGTTGGCTTTCAGTATTGTTGTGGATTGATGCTTTCCCTGCCAGGCCTTAAAGACTGAGGGTCATTGTTTCTGAGTGGGGGGCAAAAATACAGTTTATTGTAGTCCTCTGTGGAACCACTTATTTTAAGAAATGTTTTTTGTTCCAAAATCTTAGTTCAGAGTAAGGTGTTAATTGTGTAAGTAAGTACCCACTTGTCCTCTAACAGGCTTTTTTCCACTCACATATACCATTTTTTTCCCTGCAGGCTGTTGATCACTGCAGACGTCATGTGTGGAACTAGAAGTATTTTCCAGTACTGAAAGTTTGCCATGGCTCATAAAAACATGGACTGAGGCTGGAGAGCTGTATCTCAAATGTCCCTCCTCTCTGCCTCGTTAACAATTTGACCTTCAAGTTCCTTTATTGTAACTCTTCTGTAGCAGTGCTGCTGTTGAAGGATCAGATCTTCATTGTTGACTTAACAAAGATATTTCTGGCTGTACAGTTTAACTCATTATGCTCCTGAAAATAGTCAGTGTGTTGTAGATTTTAATTGGTAGGCTGAAGTTTTTTTAGGTGCTGGGAAGAATGATGAAAGATGAAATGAGCCTCTTATCTTTTAATTTAAAAAAGAACAAGATAGTGACTAAACTTTTAAATATCTTTCTATAGCCAGCTTTGGGAAGATGACATATGTTGTGTTTAACATCTGTCTGGAGTACTAGTTTTCTACTTACTGTAGGGGAACCCTAAGGGAAAGAGTTGAATCCTGGAATTCCTTCAGCTGGAGTTTTCAAAGCTTTACAGATACAGGAAAGGGGACTTGATGTGCCCAACGAACTTTCAAAGCAACCAGTATATAAAAAGGTTACATTTGCACTTGAGTGGTCACACTTAAGACTTGTAGTGTTGTCATAGCCAGGGAAAACCCTCAATATTAGATCATGTTCTTTTTATTTCCTTGGACCACTCAGTTTCAACATGGGTGTTCTCTTGTCAAGCTCTGAACAGTTCAGTCTTCTCAAGCATGCTGACACACTTAAGGAATGCCTCCCCCCCTTTTTTTTCTCCCCTACTTGCTCACCGATTCTGCTTCATCTTACAGCTTGCTACATGCAGCCAGCCTGGTGCTAAGGAGGTAGAGCAAACTGACTCGATAGGAGATGGAGGTGAAAAAGTCAGCAGGGGCTCCATGTATGTGAAAGCCTGTACAGTTTAGTGGGCAGAACGTGTGGGAGATGGTTTTACTGTAAAATGCTGTTTCGTTCCTTGCTTTCGGTTTTCTCTCATGGCATATTCCAGTAATCTTAAAGCTTCAGAGGTACTGTTAGGCTTGCAGGTAGTTCCCACTGCTGCCACCCATTCTCAGTGACATTCATCCTTCTGAGTAGTTTGAAGTATAACTTTCTCTTTTCCCAGAGTTCCCATTTCTATTGGGAAATGCAGCTGAGTTGCAGGTGGAGATGGCAGAGTGAGAATGCTGTTGCAGGTATTTTACAGCTTTGCTGGCATGCCTGGCAGCCTTTCACAGTGGCGCAGCAGGAAAACATCACACTGAAATTATCTGAACTTTGGAACAGAAGACTTTTAAGGCAGACTGCTACCCTGAAAACAAGTCAGGCCCTCGAGGTAGGGGCTTTCAGGGTGAGAATCATGCTTATGTTGTTCAAGACAGACCTTTTACCGGCTTTATGTGCTAAATTCTGAACAAGGTAACTCCTCAGAAGGCACAAGAGTAGCACTGGAGAGTCCTCTGGGAAGGAGAAGCTGGTCTGTGTGGAGCTTTGAAAACTCCAGTCCTGTTCAGAAAGTGCTGGCAACTGCTCCTCTTTGTGCAGCGCCTCGGGTGAGACGGGAGCTCTGCTAACAGGGCTTCAGGAGCAAGCAAACTCATTTTCATGGAGTTGAATTGAAAACCACTCAACTGCATCTTTTTCTTACTACTTGTACACACTGAATGTCTGGGCGGTCTTGACAAATACTGAGACAGATTTATCTTTCCTGTTTGTGTACAGAACTCTGAAGCACTCCCTGCTTTAAGAAAAGTCCTCTAAAGGTGTACAATATCAGCAGCTTTCTATCTTGGCAGGCTTGTGCAGTGCTTCTAGTGGTGTATCCCAGCAGGGGTAAGTGTCCCAGGTGGATGATGGGCTCTCCTCAGGATGGCTGCCCTTGGAGGGGTGCAGGTTGTCACACTGCAGCATGCAGTATGGGATTGGATCTTTTAAAATGACTTTTTTTTTTTTTCTTTTAGGGGGTTGGATTGACACTAGCTTTTATCAGCTGTCAAGGTTGTAATTCCTGTGGGTTTTTTAGTAGTGGAGGACTCATGCTGGCAGCCTGTAGGGCAAGGTGAGCTGGGCGAAGTCCTGTGCTCCTGCTGGGAATCTCTTCAGTTTTTTCTCACTTCCTGTGGAATGTGGCACCTGACCTGCTTGAGTTACGTGTGTGGGGGGACATGCAGTTGCTTTCTAAAGAACATTGTCTTGATTTTTTTTTTCTTTTTTTTGTTTTGCACAAAAGCTTCTTTAATGAACAATAAAAACCTCTGTAAACTGGTAACTCCATTGTTCCCTTGGTGTGTGCTCATTCCTGAAGGATCTTGTCAGCGTCCCTTTGCCTCAAAGGCAGAAGAGGGCATGTCCCAAAATGTCACCTGAAGCTTTTGCAGCAAGGCAGGGCGATGCCAGGAATCCTGAGGCTGAATGACAGGATTCAGGTTTGCGTTGCAGCATGCATGTCCTATCAAGCCTTTTTATATGGAGGGCAGCTGTGGGCTTGCCAGGGATTGCTGCTGCTCGTCTCTTCCCTGGATGAGCGCAATGCCTGCTGTGAGGTAACACTGACGTGTCGCAATTCCCATGCAAGGCCAGGAGGGAGTTCTTGCTGGAGCTGTTTGCGAGTCAGCACTGAAGCCTGCTATCATTTAGCATGGCTTTCCTGTGTCTGCATTCCTTGTTTTTATTTGATTGCAATATATTTCTTATAAATGCTTAATGACACCATTGATTCTTTTGAATAAACTTACTGGTCTCTAATACCTGTGCTAGCTTTGGGCAGTGGGTTCTGGGCTGTGAAATGAAGCCTGGTTGGTTCTGACCTCCTGGGAATACCTGCCTGACTCTGGTCCCTCCCTCCGCTTGCATACTGCTGCTCTGATTTTATAATCAGGGCATAAAGAGGGGTGTGGTAATTGCTGTGCGTAGGTGTCGGTTCTCACTACTTCTCCCAGCTGTTCCAAGATTCCTCAGTCTGGGAGAAGCACGGGAATAACCAGCACTGAGGACTGTCTTGGGAACAGCATGGCGAGCAAGTGGAGAGGCTGGGTGCTGATCCTCTCCGTGTGCTTGGGGTCGTACCAAGGTAAGGTCAGGCCTTGCGCATAGGGCTCTTTCCTCAAGAGAGCTCAGAAAATGCCTCTGAACCCCAGAACTATTCCAAGCTATCTTGAGCGTGTGTTCCTCCTTGGAAAGGATCAGAAAGGTTGAAACTCAATAGCACGCTTCCTTGTCCTCTGGTTTTGGGCACTCTCCAATGGGTTGAGCTCTGACTCCTGTTCATTTGGAATTGAACGTTCTGGTTTTTGCTCTGAACGGCGATTTTAAGGGCAGAAAATGATTCCCATAGGAGCCAGCAGAGCTGGTGTTTTGTAGGGGCTCAAGGGTGTGGAGGAGATGAGATTGAAGAGGAGGAGTCAATGTGGAATCTCAGCAGCTTGGCTGCTGCCCTCTGTGCTGGGGCCTGGATGTGAATATGTGCTGTGGGAGCCATTCCTTGTACTGTGGAGAGCCAGAATAGCACACACAGCTGTCTGTTGGGTTGGGGGTAGAGAAGCAGGAAGCCCTTTCTGCTGAACTTCCTAGCTGGGTCTTGGTGAGCTCTGGGTTACCGGGTGCAACGTTGGAGAGCTGCTGAAGCCCTCATCAGTAGAGCTTTGGGAGCAGATTCCCCCAGGCAGCAGAAGGCAGAGGGGTCTGTACCCAGTGGTACTTGCTGACGGGGAGGGAAGAGGGTTGGAAGCACTTAGGAGATAATTCCTTGGGGAAGCCACAGAGCTCTGTAGATGCAGGAAGGTGAACTTAAGACCTTTTGTGCACTTACTTTGGCCACCCTCCCATTGGGCTCCACAACCTGTGCTGTGCTGGCACTGTGGTGGAGTTGTGCTCACCGCATGGGATGTGCTGGGGGGGCATGGGCTGCTGGGAGCTTCCCTACCAGCAACAGGACCAGCAGGAAAATCCACCTGTGTGCTCAGCATGTTGGAGGCAGCCTGCGGTGGGAGGGAGTGCAGCTCTCCTTTCCACATGCTCGCCAACTCCTCATTTCCTCGTTGCTGGTGGGAAAACCCTCCAGTAATGTTAACATCACCTCTTCTTGGCCAGATCCTTGGATGGTTTGGGGGGAAAAGCTGCGTTTGGGGAGTGTGTTTCCTGGCTAGTAACTGGGGCGCAGGGCCCACGTGCCACCCCCAGGCTTGCGCCACAACCGGTTCTCCGGGCTCAGCAGGCTCAGCTGCGGAACGAACGCTCCTCCGCGCCCTGCAACGTGCTCAAGGCACAGCGGTGATCCCATCCCTACATGTCCTTCAGAGGGCCATTCCCACCTGGGGACCATCTGTGTGGTTGTTCTCCAGCCTGATGGTGGTAGAGGTGCCCATGTCTGTGCGTCAGTCAGTTCACGTCTGTTGGATTAGGTGGGGCTGTGTCCATGGGTCAAGCTGGGCCATCCCAATGTGCACGCTCAGTGTTTTTGGGTTGTGTGGTGCGTGCAACCCCTTCCGTGCTTACTCAGCATCTCACAGGATGAGCTGGTGACCCAACATCCATGAAAACAGTGATTAAAATGGACAGCTGTCCGATCTGGGAGGATGTGGCAGGTAGAAATGGAATCTTGGGCCACTTCACGCTGAGGCTGTGCACCTCCCTTTCCTAACCCTGGCATCACATTTCTGTATGCAATCTGTTTTCCTTAATCAAAGTGGCATCAAGAGGGAGAACTGGCTTCAAATAATAAAGGGTGGATTTTGCTAGGGGAAAGCATCAGCGCTCCTTTTTCAGCCATGTAGATGTGTGTATCATAAATAGGTATTTTTATATATAGTAAGCTCAGAAACAGCCTCAGGTTGCAATGTTTTGTCTCTTTTCTTTTAAATGGGGTTGCCCCTTAGCTCTTGTCTGCCTTGCTGTTCCTGTTCAAAGACTGTTGCTGTACCTACATCAGCTGATGCAGTGAGTGTGTGCCTGTGTGGGACTATTCCATGGGAACAGTCCCTGTCGGACCCACCCTGCCCTGGAGCAGCCCAGCAGCACTGCAGAGAGCTGTGCTAGCACTTTTGCTGCAGATGCAGCTTGTGGAGGGATGCTGCTTGCCCTGTCGTGCCTGCACAAAATGCATCCTGACATGTGGAGGTGGCAATTAAACACTGATGGTGGGAGGTGCTTATCAGGTGGCATTGCACCATGCCTGGCCTGAGTGAGAGCGATGCTGTCACCTCTGGATTATTCATTTTGCAAGATTTATGAGTGTTTTTTTTTTACGGTGACACCTTACCAGGTGTATTCAGCCTTCCAGGCTGTAGGTGCCTCACATTCTCTGTGATTTTAAGATGCTGTTATGTGCGCCTGTCCTTATTGAGGGCAATAAATGATGTTGCAAAAGGAGAAGGAGGAAGAGTTGGGGTTGTGTGAGCTTTGGGTGTCAGCAGCACATGGCAGAGATAAAATAATAGTAGATGATGCTATTGTGAAAGCTGAGGCGAGTCAGGGCAGGAGGAATGAGCAGCATAGCATCGCTCCTTGCTGCCTTTGTAGCTGGGGATGGGATGGGATTAGGTGAAATGGGAAGCAAGGAGACAGATAGGATGGGAATGAGACAGAATGTGATGGTATGAAAGAGGGTGTGATGGAATGGAAAGAGATAAGTTAGGATGCAATGGGATGAGATGGAAGGGGACGGTATGAAGTGGGATGTAATGAGAAGAGACAGGATAAGAAGAGGTGAGATTAAATGTGATAGGATGATTGAGATGTGATGGATAGGATGGAGTGGAATGGGATTGGATGAGGTGGGATGCAGTGAGATGGGATGGGATGAAAGGGGAAAGAGGGGGATGACAAGAGATGAAATGTGATGGGATTTGATGTGATGGAATGGGCTAGAATGAGTTGGGATGAGAAGAGATGCAATGGAATGTGATGGGATGCAAGGAGATGGGATGGGAGGCTTGCGTGAAGCAGGCTGGCAGTCCATGGGTTGGGGGTTATGCCACCCTAGGGATCCATGTATGTGCCTGGGTACTGATGTTTCCCTCTCCTCCCCTAGCTGGGGCCAGCCCCCTCCCTGAGTGTGACGAGCAGCCAGAGGAGTGGTGCCGTGATGTGGGGACAGCAGCCAAGTGCGGGGTGCTGGAGCTGTGCCGGCTCACTGTTTGGGACCAACCAGTAGGGGTAACTGCAACTGGGGGAATGCGTGGTATTGACCTGCCCATAATCCAGAGGTGGGAAGTGGGAAGATACAGAGGGTCTGGTGCTAAGACAGCATCCTGATCCGTTCTCTATCTCAGCAGAAAGGGATCCCATGCCACCTGTGCCAGGTGGTGGTGTCCATGATGGGCAAGATTCTGCAGGACAACTGCACCGAGGTGAGTTCTCACTGGGGGCACGGGCTGCTGTCTCCCCATGCGTCTGCAGGGCCGACCCTGAGCTGAGTGCTCCCCTTCTCCTCTAGGAAAAGCTGCGGCTCTTCTTGGATAAGAGATGTCAGTATCTGCCCTTCCAGGACTGGTCAGTCAAGTGCAAGAAGATGGTGGACACTGGTGTCCTCGTCCTGGCCCAACTGGGCAAGCAAGTGCTGGTAACAGCCTGGGGACCTCTGCAGCAGGGAAACCCCTTGAGATACACAATGTGGGGAGCATGATGGGGGAATACAACCCTGTAATGATGTGGAAGGCTGTAGACAATACGTCTGCAGGGAGAGGATGGAAATAGGAATGATGCTTTGGTGTGGGGATAAATGTTGATATGGTGAAGGCCCCAGCCTGCTACCTCACTCCCACAGTCAGACCCAAAGGTGGTGTGTGGCACTATCAAGTTGTGTCAACCCCGGGGGGGCCTTGAAGGGGCCCTGAAGTTCCAGGAACAGCCACCAGCCCCCGCTGACCCTGCACAGGACTTGGCCCAACTGGCTGTGCCCTTCATCAATGGTGTTCCGCTCCTGCTCCAGCCCCAGGACCTGCCTCATGCCCAGGTACTGATAGGTGTCCCTCTCTTTATAGCCCATATACCAGTGCTGTTCTGGTGCTTTGGGTTAATGAGGGTCCTGGAGCAAAACTGTTTATGTTTGACACTGAGTTGTGCTGCTATCATCCTACAGGACACTGGGGACCTGTGCGAGGACTGTGCCCGCCTGGTGGCAGCTGTGCAGTTGGAGCTGAGCAACGGGGCCACCACTGCTCGCTCACTGATGGCCCGTGCCAAGGAGGAGTGTGAGGGCCTGGGGCCTGTCCTGGCACAGCGGGTAATGTCACTGCACCAGGGACATCCTAGTGGCTGCTGGGGCTGGGAGGTGGCAGAAGGCAGTGGTGGTCACCGTGCCCCAGCTTGTTTATTTCTTTATTGACCTGGATGAGGGGATTGAGTGCACCCTCAGTTGCAGATCACACTAAGTCAAGAGGAAATGTCAATCTGCCTGGGGACAGGAAGGCCCTACAGAGTGGTCTGGGTAGGCTGGATTGCTGGGCTGAGGCCAATGGGATGAGGTTCAGTAAGACTAAAGTCTGTGTCCTACACTTTGATTGTTGTAACCCCAGGCACTGCTAAAGGCTTGGGGCAGAGTGGCTGGAAAGCTGCATGGAAGAAAAGGAAGTGTTCCAGAGTTGGGGAGATGTGGCACTGAGGGATGTGGGCAGGAGGGGGTGGGCTGGGGTTGGGCTAAGTGACCTGAGAAGGCTTTTTTAACCTGGATGATTCTATAATCCTATGTTCTCCCTGCACAGTGCAATTACTACCTGGCCAAGTATGCGGACACAGCTGCCTGGATGCTCCGGCACTTGGTAAGTGGGAGAGCTGCTCTCTAGTGCTTCCTTTTGCTTCTACAACTTTCTAGATAGCTCTCACTGTTGCAATTCATTTTTTAATGATCGTTCTTGTATTTTTCTCTCCGCCCTCCACCTTCCCACCTCCAGCTGGCTGAGGTAAGCAAGATGCCCAGTGGCAGCCCAGTAGGGCCAGCACAGGTCCATGGGCTGAACGTGAGCCGTGTCTCCGCAGGATCCGCGGGAGCTCTGCAGCATGCTGGAGCTCTGCCCCACAGCAGACCCAGGACCCCTGCACACGCCACTCTCTGAGAAAATGGCCCAGCTCCTGGGCACGCTGCTCTCCAATACGGTATGGCCCCGGCCCCTCTGCCAGGAAGGGTGGATGGGGTGAATGCAACTTAGCCCTTTTCTCTCCCTCCCAGGAGGCCACGCCGCTGTGTGAGATGTGCGAGTTTGCTGTGCGGGCGGCTGAGAGCCTCCTGGAGAACAACATGACAGAGGTGAGCGGGGGCTGTGGGGGGCTGCGGGCAGCAAGGCGATTTCCCCGTGGCATCACGCCCTCCCCACCCAACAGGAGCAGCTGGTGAACGACATTGAGAAGGTGTGCTACATGCTGCCGCACAGCGTCATCGGGCAGTGCAAGGACTTTGTGGATTCGTACGGCAAGGCGGTGGTCATCATGCTGCTGGAGGCCACCGACCCGCAGGCTGTGTGCACCATGCTGCATGTCTGTCCGCGCCAGGAGGCGACCCGGGGGGCGGAGCTGGGGGCAGGCATGGGGGCAGCACTGGAGCCAGCTGCTGGAGCATTTTGCAACGTCTGCCAGATCTTCATCACTTACCTGGATAATGAGCTGCTGAAGAACGAGACGCTGACAGAACTGGGCGCTGTGCTGGAAAAGGGCTGTGAGCTGCTGCCCGGCCCGCTCACCAGCACGGTCAGTGGGGCTGCGCCTGGGGTGGTCCCTGATCCCCACCCCAATACCAGGCTCACCGCAACCCCTCTCTCCTGCAGTGCGAGGCGCTGGTGATGCAGTACGAGCCAGCAGCTGTGCGGCTCCTCGTGCAGATGATGGACCCTGACTTTGTCTGCACTGTGAGTGCAAACCCACAGGTTGTGGTGGGACTGATAGCTTTCAGGGCACAACCTCACTCCTCCCCTATTTCCTCCTTGGCAGAAAATCCGAGCTTGTGACTCAGAGCTGACCTCAGCCCCCTGTGCCCAGGGACCTGACTACTGGTGCATCAGCATGGCCACGGCCACCGAGTGTGACGTAAGTGACAGCAGCAATCCTCCTGCCCACTGCACACCCTGCAGCGGTGCAGCCCCCATCTGTCCCATCTCTCCCTGCAGGCTGTGGAACATTGCAGGCAGCATGTGTGGAACTAGGTGCATCTCCATCCTGGACCCTCCCTCCCTTGGGATGCAGCCACAGCACCAGGGATGGGGTGTCCCAGAGTTCCCCTGCTTGGCTCTGAGACACTCCAGTCCACTCTGCCTTCTTCTTTTCCACCCCCGGGGCTTGGATTTTTGGATCAGGTTAAGGGATTTTGTCTTGTTGTTGGGACTGGGAACTCAGCAGTAGGCTTGTTTCAACATACCCCCCTTATGCTATCCGCTGAGTGAAAACCTTTGGTCGTTCCCTTTCACATCCCACCCAGAACCGACACCAAAGACATGATCAGAGCAACTCCATGGACTGGGATGGGCTCTGCTGCTGCAGTGCTGGTCCCAGTTTGCTGGTGCTCTCTCACCATGGGTCCCATGTGATTTTTGGCAAGACCTTCGCTAGACTCAGTCCCAACTGGGGCAGCTATTTAATTTTATTTTTTTCCCATGGTCACCAGTTAAAGAAACAAAGCAGATTCCATGTGCCTGGCTTTGCATGACTTCTGCAGTAGATGAATGTTGCAGGGGGGAAGGAGAAGACATAGGCTGGGTTAGAAACATGCATGTGTTTTTATATATATATAAATATATTACATATGTTTATATATACGCATATCTGTTATGTGTGTGTATATATACATGTTTATGTGTGCATGTATATACACATATAAATACATATATTTATGTATATGTAGATAGAAGGACACTGCCTTCACCCTGCTCCTGTGTGAGGATGGGCATAGCCTGCAGAAGGATGCAAACCCAGCACTGCAGGGCCAGGATGTGGGGTTCCCTTGCTGAAGGGAGGCATGGGCTGGTATCTCCAGCCCCAGGCATGGGATGCAACATGGGGTCACCTTCAATCCACTGGCACAGGAGCCTCCTGGAATATATATATAGTGTGGGCATCCCATGAACACACAAATGAGTGAGTTTGGGATTTCCTTCCCAGCAAACATCTCTTGCAGGGGATCCTGATGCCAAAGTGTGGTGATGAGGCAGTGGTGTGCTGGCTTGTCCCCACTACACCACCAATAAACACCTCCATCAACCTGGCTCTTGTCTCCCTTCTCTTCTATGCACCATGGTGATGCTTGTGCAGTGTTATGTTTCTCCCTAAAAACCAGGCTGTAAGGGTGGGTGGAGGGATAAATTAAGGGAATTAAAGGGCTTTATTTACAAGAGGTGGCTGTAGGATAGTGATCATGTTTGCAGGGCCAGAAGGAAGAACGACAGCTTAACCAAAGCCATAAGGAGTGTATTTCTGATTCCTGTAACAGACCATTCCCAAAACTCTCCACAAGGTAATGGTTGGAAACAACCCCCGAATGAACAAACCCGAGAGCCAAAGAGAGGGGGAGGACAAGGGGAAGAGGATACACACAAACACTCAACAGCCAGAAGCCCGCTATTGTCAGTCTCTCTCTTTTGATCACATCGTAACACATTTTGGTAAAGCCAGCAAAATGGAGAAATGTCTTCGGTTGGGTCTTTCCCTGCTGGAAAGGTGACAACAAGCAGTAATGCTGGGTGGCTTCAGGCCATCTGTGCTCGCCCAGCCCCATGACCACAGTTGAGGTGCAACGGGCTTTGCTCCCCCAGTTTGTGTGGGGGGATGCCTTGCTGTGGCTGTGCTGTTTTCGGGTTGCCTTCACCCCCAGCCTCATAACGCTTGAGTTCTTTGCATTCACTCAGCATTATTAAAAAAAAAAAAGTTTTTTAATAAAAAAATGAATTATTTAATGATTCAATGACACGCAAGGAAGGGCAGATCAGTCCTGAGAGCCCTCTCCCAGGACCCAGCTCTACAAGGCTGCTGGGTTGAATTGTAGGGACAGATGGAAAAGGGACTGAGTGCCGGTCTCAGTACCCACTGCCCCCCAGCTCTGTGCTTGTCCTCTGCCATCCCGGGCTGCCCTGGGTGGATGCTGCTGGTCATAGCTCAGTGATCTCCAGTGGGCTCTCCATGATCACCTCCCGCATCTTGTGCAGGGGGGTGGATTTGGCTGACTCGGTGCGGGCATTGTGGTCGTAAGCCCCACAGTCGGCAGTCAGAGTCTCCAGCGAGCGCCCCAGCACCTTCTGGTCATCTTCAGGGAGGCTGTTGAGGTCAGAGGCCAGCAGCGTACCTGTACTGCCGTGCACCACGTGGATGCCATCAGGGCCTTTCAGTTCTACTGGCTGCTTGTGCCGAAAGCGCAGGCTGCCCTGGCTAGGGCAGCGCTCCTCGTCCTCCTCCAGATCCTTCTGGATGAGCTGCAAAACCCCACCAAGATGTCACCAGGTGTCCTAACTCCCTTCTGGGGAGTTACAACTCAGAATCATAAACACTGGAAGCACCACTTAGATCATCGAGTTTAGCTGTCAGCCCATCACCACTATAGCACTAAATCATGATGCTCAGTATAACATCTCCCCTTTTCTTGATCATGACCAGGGACAGTGACTCCACCGCCTCCCTGTGCAGCCTGTATCAGTGTATCACTGCTCTGAGAAGGAGAGACCCAAACCTCCTCTTTCTTCACAGGGAGCTCCACAATTGATCTCCCCTTGCTCATTTTGGGGAGAAGTTTTCTGTGCATCTGAATATTGCAAAGCTAGCCTTGGGCTTCACAAGGCCCTGGCACTGGGTTGTGGGGCCAGGAGGACACACTGCATCCCAAAGGGCACAGCAAGCATCTCCCCATGCCCACACACCCCCTCTACCTCTGTGACCGAGGAGCGGTCCCCCTGACTGGAGGTGGCCTTATGCACCATCCGCTGGGCAAAGAGCCTTTTCAAGCGCATGTAATCATCCAGGACCACCTTCAGGAGAGATCCCTGGGTGGAGGAGGAGAGAGGATGAGTTATGCAAGGGAGAGAACTGAAATGGAGGAAGGCTGGCCCCACGCTGCTGTTTCTCGCAGGAAAAAAATCCCCTTCTGCTGTAGCACCTGGCGGGAGGAAGCAATGTTGGATCTGCGGTGGGGATGCTCACCTTGATGGGTCCCTCGCGCATGATCTGCCCCAGCTTGGCAATGTTGTCGTACTCCTGGATGGCAGCTCGCAGGTAGCGGTCATCCTCAGGCTTGGCAGCTGAGGGCTCTCTGCCAAAGGTGCCCTGCAGGAGGAGAGCACGGCTTTGGTTGTCAGCATGGGAATGGGCATAGAAATGGGTGGGCAGGGCCAGGGCTGCGTCTCACATGGGTCCTGGCTGGGCTGTTCCAGAGGTCAGTGATCTCGCTCAGGTTCTCTGGAAGGTCATCTTCATGCTCTGCTTGTGCCGCCAGTTCCATGGTCCGGCAGAAGGGGTCGAGCCACACGGGGTTGGCCCTGCCTCGGGAGGGGAAGAGTGCTCAGCCCAAGGGAGAGCAAGAAGAGGGCAGCCAGAAAATGCCCCAAATACTGTGCCCAGCTGAATCCCTCCACAAAGCAGAGGATTCTCTACCGCCAGTTCATCCCTGGCTGTAACGTGGGTACTCCATTGAGAGCATCCTATGATGTATGAGGAAGCAGAGATAGAACTCACCCGTCAAAGGAGTACTTGTTGGTGTTTGGCATGTCCATGATGTCCATGAAGCCTCTATTGCCTGCAAAAGGCAGGGGTAGAGGATACCCAGCAGCTCAGCTGCTTACGAGCAGCAAAAAGCTATGGGCATGGGACAATTTCTTTATGAGGGGAATTCAATGACAAAAAAGGCACTGGTGGCAGGAAGACCACTTTGTGATGGGGCTGATGGCAGGGAGCCTGGATGAGGAGAAAGCTTCCTACCACCACACCTCCATATCTAGCACCATGCATGCCAGCCAGGCACCCTACTGAGCCATGCAGATGGAAACCCCCAGCACTGCTCACCTGTGGAGCCCGCCACAATGGCTTTCAGCTTCCTTTTGTGCCTGCGAGAGAAAAGAATACAGCAAATTAGCAGAGAAGATCAGAAAGATGTCTGGAAGGAGCAGAACGTGCAGGTTATTGGAAGTCAGGCACTACTCACACGGTGCGGTAATACCAGTTCATGAGGATGAAGAGCATGGCAGCCAGGAAGAGCAGGACAGCCAGCACGATGATCGCCATCTGGGATAGACAGATGGGTAGGGGCAAAATGAAAGTAATTATATTTATTAAAATAATATATAAATATAATTAATATATAAAATAAGAGTATTATGTACGATATACGTAATATTAGAATAATAATATTAGTATTACAGTAAAAAATAAAGTGTTACTACATGGGAGGAAGGAGCTTCACCTGCAGAGCTGAGAGGTCGTCCGGGGCACGGGCAGTGATGGCAGGCTGTACATCCAGCACATTATAGTTCCTGAAGAGGTTCCTCAGCTGCTCCTTGTTCTCATCAATCATCTGAATCACCCTGGGGACAGAAGAGTGCTTGGGCCTCTTGATCTGTAAGGCTCACCATGGGCTCTGACCAATGGCTAACGTACCGCTCCACATCCAGGATGCGGTTGGTCTCTCTGTTCACCACATGGATCAGCAGCTCTGTCTGTGCAAAGTTCACCCGGCCTTTCTTGTCCACATGGAACTGGGGAGAGACAGCAAGGTCTGCAATGCTGTAAGGGTGTCTCCTCAGGGAGCATCTCCTGAGGCATGCTCATGTGTCATTGCCCACATTCATGCAAGGACAGCCCTGTCCTCAGCTAGCAGTGCTCGAGATGTGTCCACAGCCAGATTGCTGGGCACTTGACTGGTGGTGGAGTAGCCACATTGCTTCACAGCACCCAAGGCCAGGGTTGGTCCTCCAATTCCAGACCCTGAGAACCTCTGTATCTACATGTGGGAGGTGACCTGCCCCTCAAAATAACCTGGAGAACTGATGGTTACCTGCACATCATCAGTGTTAACGATGGCACCCGTGATGTTGGAAAGCAGACTGATGAACTCCTCCTCAAACTGTCTGACCTTATCGGGGATCTCATTGATGATAATTTTGACTCTCTGGTCATCCCGCAGGATGTAGATCCCCACAATGGCTGTGTCATTGTGGCCCACCAGGTCAGAGGCCATGATGTCCACCACAAAGTAGCCAGGATTATAGGCCGTGAAGAGATCAAAGGTTCTTAGGATGCCATCAAGAGTACCTGGGAAAAGGATATCCACAAGTCCAAGGTTAGTGCAGCCACTTCAAAATGCTCACCTGAGGTCTCCATCAAGGAATATTGCAAACCAGGGCTTGGCAGGTGACATACAGAAGCTCTTGCAAGCTAGAGCCTATATTGTGAGTGAAAGAAAGAAGATGGAGGAACAGCCATGCTGCCTAGTGACTACGGCTATGGAGGACATCTTTGACCATGGAATCATCTGGCCCTGCACTCCTGCAGTATCCAGGCTACGCACCAATGCTGAAGATGTTGGCCACCTCCTCAGAATCATTGGAGTGCTGCTTGATGTAGCGGATCCCCAGGATGCTGTACAGGACTAGGCTGTTGTTGCCCACATCAGCGTCCACGGCCAAGACCTTGATCAGCTCTGATCCCACCTTGGCATCTGTGGCCACGCCTTTGGGAGGGAGATAGAACAGAGATCTGGATCTGTGCTGCATTGCTTTTCCATCCCCTCATCGCTGGGATCCCCTCCCAGACACCAGCAGTCCTTACCCGCTGTGTACTCCGACTTGGTGAACTGGGGGGACTGGTCATTGATGTCATCCAAGAAGATCCGCACCTCCTGAAGAGTCAGATCTGTGCTGAGGTCCCAGGGCTGTGCTCTGCCTGCATGCTGGCTCCGGGGTGGGGACCAGTTCCTCTGGCTGGATGCTTTGACGATGATGGAGTAGTAGGGCTCCTTCTCGCGGTCCAGGTCGCGCAGGACTTGGAGCTTCCCCTCCCGGCTCAACAGGAAGTTGCTCTCTTGGTTCCCAGCTGCATGCAGAAAGGGGAGCTGAGTCACTTGCCTTCTGGCTCACCGTGTACTTTACCATGTTAGAAATACCTTGAGCAGCCCAGGGGAGCTATGCAAACCCTTGTAGAGCATGCAGGTGGGCGTGGGGTGCTCAGACCAGAACAGATGCAGAGTGACTCTAGGGATGATAGCTTAGGACATCATCCTTGTTTGGCC